GGACTACAGGATAAATGATGATTTTCTCTTCCTTCCCTATCCAGTATTGGCGCCACACACAGGGATAGGAATCCCTAGCATGGCCGGCCACAAGGGATAAGGGATAGAAGAGAATTTTGGTTCGAAATTCGAATTGGAGATAGAGATTTGATTCCTTCTAGAAGTTTGACTTTTACTATATAAATAAGAGAATAGTAGAAAATTGTGGACATAATTTTTGTGACAATTTTTTAGACAATTTTCGGACTGAATTTTTGCCATATTTTGACAGTGCTGGCCGAAATTCTCATGGTAGAGAGGAAGGAAAAATTTTTCTCCAAAAAATTTCACATCGTGCATGCGTTGGTGTTTGTGGAAATTCGAGTGTTTATTATAACCCGTTTTGTCTTATGTGTGCTCACACACACGTCTTCGTGGATTCTAGGAATTGATGTGGAAGACATTGGTTTTCTAAACACAAAGATTGGAGCAAGAACTGTTCGTGGTCAAAGAACTCAAGTTATCATCCGAGTCGGCTTCCAGGTATTTTTTCTGATTGAGTTCTTAATAAATGAATTAATGAGATTAATTTATTCGTGCATAAATTAATATAATCTATAGAGTATCTCAAAAGTTTTATGAAAATTTTTGTTATACACGATCCGTCTCTTCCCCGCACCACCACGCTTCCGCATCCGAATTCGATTCGGAGACCAACATCTTGATCTGATCATGAATTTGTTGAAGGTTTTTTCTTGATCAGCGAATTTTCGGCCCTCTTCCCCCAAATCAACCGAGGTATGGCCCTCCTCCAGGTGTTTAGTTGGTTTTTTTTTCTGTTTTTCAGATTATTTGTTCATAATTTCTCCCAACGAGTATATCTGATTTGGTATGTGATATGACGAAAATTTTTGGTTATTTTTTCTGTTTTTGATTTCCCTAATACTCGGTCTGTGATTGTGAAGGAAATTTGTTATTGATTTACAGTCCTATTGCTTGATTTTGTAACGATCGGTTTATATGGTTTCATTAATCCTACAGGTTAACGATGGGTTTATGAGTTTATATGATTTTAGTATGCGTAATAGGTGATGCTTGAAGAATCATCATGAAGCATCAAAATCTAATTTAAATCATGTAATTAGTTGACATGCGTTTGATCGACTTACAAAGAATAACAAGAACGATGCATTGCGTTTAAATCCTGTGATGTTGATTTTTTCAGTATGAACATGGTTAGTTGAAATTAGTTAAAATTAGTTGAAATGAGTTTGATCTTTCTTTTGCTGTTTTGGTGTTCTGGTGTTCTATTCTAGCTAACTTAGCTAGCTAGTCTTTCCAACTTTTGAATTGGAAGCACTAATGCACTCTTCTTTACAAACCTGCTTTTTACGAATTTTTTTTTTCTAGGCATGAGTTAATCATGTATGCTGAACATTTGAAATATGTGTGTTTTTGTGTGTATTCTGTGGTTTAGAAACGTTTTTGTATTTGGTTTTAGATCCGGTTATATATATTCTATTTTTTATAATTTTTTTTTATTTTTCGTCTTTGAAAAATAAAATAAAATAATAACGATGTAAAAAACTTATGAAATTTTACAAGCACGATCATCACATTTTTCTAGGCATGTCTAGAAAAAATGGCCTCAAAAAATGACAAAAAAATAAAACACTGTCAAAAAGCCACCGACCTGCGTAGTGTGGTGCCCAGGAGCCGGGATAGGTTAAAAATTTACGTTTTTATTTATGTTTTACATTCTAAAATTAATATATGATTTTTACGAATTAATGCAACAAGCGGTACCATTTTTTGATGAATATTCTATTTTTTTATTATTTTCTTTATTCTTCATTTTTTAAAAATAATATAAAATATAAGCGATGTCAAAAACTTATGAAATTTTGCAGACACGGTCGTTCAATGTTTCTGCGCATGTCTGCAAAAAATGGCCTCAAAAAATGACAAAAAAGAGTAAAACGCTGTCAAAAAGCCTCCGGCCCGCGTAATGAGGCGTCCAGGAGCCATGATGGGTCAAAAATATACATTTTTATTTATGGTTTGCATTCTAAAATTAATATATGATTTGTATGAATTAATGCAACAAGCGGTACCAGTTTTTGATGAATATTCTATTTTTTATGATTTTTTTTCATCTTTGAAAAACTAAAATAAAATAAAAAAATGACGTAAAAAACTTATCAAATTTTACAGACACGAACCTTACATTTTTCTATGCATGTTTGTAAAAAATGGCCTTAAAAATGACAAAAAAAAATAAAACGCTGTCAAAAAGTCTCCAGCCTGCATAGTGAGGCGCCCAGGGGCCGGGATAGGTCAAAATTTTATATTTTTATTTATGTTTTGCATTCTAAAATTAATATACGATTTGTATGAATTAATGCAACAAGCGGTACCAGTTTTTTACGAATATTCTATTTTTATGATTTTTTTTACTTTTCGTCTCTCAAAAATAAAATAAAATAAAATAACGACGTCAAAAACTTATGAAATTTTGCAGACACGATCCTTATATTTTTTTGGGCATGATTGCAAAAAATCGCCTAAAATGACCAAAAACAAATAAAATGCTGTCAAAAAGTCATCGGCCCGCGTAGTGGGACACCCAAGGGTCAGGATGGGTCAAAAATTTATATTTTTTTATGTTTTATATTTTAAAATTAATATACAATTTTTCAAAATTAATGCAACAAGCGGTACCAATTTTTGATGAATATTTTATGTTTTATGACTTTCTTTATTTTTCATCCTTGAAAAATAAAATAACAACGACGTCAAAAACATACGAAATTTTACATACAAGATCCTTACATTTTTTTGGACATGTTTACAAAAAATGGCATAAAAATGACAAAAAAAAAAAGATAAAACGCTATTAAAAAGCTCCTGACAAGCGTAGTGGAGCGCCAGGGGCCTGGATGTGTCAAAAATTTAAATTTTTATTTATGTTCTTCATTCTAAAATTAATATGTGATTTTTTAGAATTAATGCAACAAGCGGTATCAGTTTTTGATGAACAATCTATTTTTTATGATTTTTTTTATTTTTACTCTTTAAAAAATAAAATAAAGTGGAAACGACGTTAAAAACTTATGAAATTTTGCATACATGATCCTTACATTTTTCTCGGCATGTCCGCAAAAATTAGCCTCAAAAAATGACAAAAAAGGTAAAACGCAATCAAAAAGCCCCCGCCCTGCGTAGTGGGGCGCCCAGGGGCCGGGATAGGTGAAAAATTTATATTTTTATTTATGTTTTACATTTTAAAATTAATATACATTTTTTAGGAATTAATGCAACACACGGTACCATTTTTTTGATGAATATTCTCTTTTTGATGATTTTCTTTATTTTTCGTCTTTAAAATATAAAATAAAATAATAACGACGTCAAAAACTTATGAAATTTTGCATGCACGATCCTTACATTTTTCTAGGCATGTCTGAAAAAAAATGGCCGAAAAAATTGACAAGAAAAAGTAAAACGCTATTAAAAAGTCCCCAACCCGCGTAGTGGGGCACCCAGGGGCCGGGATGGGTTAAAAATTTACACTTTTATTTATGTTTTGCATTCTAAAAGTAATATTCAATTTGTAGGACTTAATGCAACAAGTGGTACCATTTTTTTATGAATATTCTATTTTTTATGATTTTCTTTATTCTTTGTTTTTGAAAAATAATATAAAATATAAACGACGTCAAAAACTTATGAAATTTTGCGGACACAATCGTTATATTTTTCTGGGCACGTCTGCACAAAATGACATCAAAAAATGACAAAAAAAGTAAAGCACTATCAAAAAGCCTCCGACCCACGTAGTGGGGCCCCCAAGGGCCAGGATGGTTCAAAAATTTACATTTTTATTTATGTTTTGCATTTGAAAATTAATATGTGATTTGTATGAATTAATGCAACAAGTGTTACCAGTTTTTCATGAATAATCTATTTTTTATTATTTTATTTATTTTTCATCTTTAAAAAATAAAATAAAATACAAACGACGCCAAAAACTTATGAAATTTTACAGGCACGGTCTTTACGTTTTTCTGGGCATATTTGCAAAAAATTGTCTCAAAAAATGACCAAAAAAAAAAGTAAAATGCAGTCAAAAAGCACCCGGCCCTCGTAGTGGGCGTCCAGGGGCTTAGATGTGTCAAAAATTTAGATTTTTATTTATGTTTTGCGTTCTAAAATTAGTATAAGCTTTTTAGGAATTAATGCAACAAGCAGTACAAATTTTTTGATGAATATTCTCTTTTTGCTGATTTTCTTTATTTTGCATCTTTGAAAGATAAAATAAAATAGAAACGACGTCACAAACTTATGAAATTTTACAGATACGATCCTTACATTTTTCTGGGCATTTCTGCAAAAAAAAAAACAAACAAAAAAAAACAAAAGGCCTCAAAAAATTAGAAAAAATGTAAAACGCTGCCAAAAGGGCCCCCAGCCCGCGTAATGGGGCTCCTAGGGGGCGGGATAGGTCAAAAATTTACATTTTTCTTTACGTTTTCATTCTAAACTTAATATACAATTTTTAGGAATTAATGCAACAAGCGAGACCATTTTTTTTATGAATATTCTATTTTTTATCATCTTCTTTATTTTTTATCTTTGAAAAATAAAATAAAATAGAAATGACATCAAAAACTTATGCAATTTTATAGACACGATACTTACATTTTTCTAGGCATGTCAGCAAAAAATGGCCTCCAAGAATGATTAAAAAAAAGTAAAACGCTATGAAAAAGCTCCCGGCCCGCGTAGTGGGACGCCCAGGGTCCGACATGGGTTAAAAATTTATATTTTTATTTATGTTTTGCATTCTAAAATTAATATACAATTTTTATGAATTAATGCAACAAGCGGTACCAGTTTTTTATGAATATTCTATTTTTTATGATTTTCTTTATTCTTCGTCATTTAAAATAATATAAAATAGAAACAACATAAAAAACTTATGAAATTTTGTAGACATGATCCTTACATTTTTCTGGGCATCTCTGCCAAAAATAGCCTTAAAATGACAAAAAAAGGTAAAACATTGTCAAAAGGGCCCACGGCCCGCGTAATGGGGCGCCTAGGGGCCAGGATCGGTAAAAAATTTATATTTTTATTTATGTTTTGCATTCTAAAATTAATATATGATTTTTAGGAATTAAGGCAACAAGCGGTACCATTTTTTGATGAATATTCTATTTTTTATGATTTTCTTTATCATTCGTCTTTGAAAAATAAGATAACATAGAAACGGTGTCAAAAACATATGAAATTTTACAGATACGATCCTTACATTTTTCTAGGCATTTCTGCAAAAAAAAAAAAAAAAGGCCTCAAAAAATTAGAAAAAAAAAAGTAAAACACTACCAAAAAGGCCCCCAGCCCGTGTAATGGGGCGCCAAGGGGACGGGATGGGTCAAAAATTTACATTTTTCTTTATGTTTTCATTCTAAACTTAATAT